CTAATACATCCCAGAATGTTTACTTTTTTACACACAGAAATGTAGGGTTGGAAGGAATCTGGTGTCAGGTAGTGAGTCCAACTCTCCTTGCCGAGGCATGATTAAATATACCTAGAACATCCCTGACAGGTGGTTGTCTAACTTCTTAAAATCTTTGAAAGACAGGGATTCTACAATTTCCCTAGGTAACCTGTTTCAGTGCTTAATTATCCTTCTAGTTAGAAAATTTAATGTTGGCATAGAACATAACAGCCTGCAAAGGAACAAATTTGTTTGGGAACTGGGGGATTAACTAACTCCCCATGGGCCACATTTGCTGCAGTCCTGGTCTATATAATTATTTTAATTAGATAGAACTCAAGTGCCTCATCAGATTCTAATAGTTGTAAGGAAGGTGACATTGTGAGTGAAAAGTATTTGACAATGTTCATAATTTTGAATTATTAAATGCAGTTACTTCTATCCAATTCCAGGAGGAACGAGAGGTAGGTCAGTGGAGACAGAAGTGGAAGAAACTGAAGCCCTCATCTGAAAATGTAATAAATAACACTATCAATTATTGATTCTTGATTAAAACATTATAAACTTCACATTCATTACTATGTAATATTTATAAGCTGGCAACATTCCTACTCCTATTTTCTTTCAGAAAGAATGTTCTTTTACTTTGGGAAGCCTCATTTGCTCCCAACATCAGACTCCACCTTTATGCCCACAATGCACGAAGATTCCATTCTACTTTGAAATCTTCTCTTCTAACCAGACTCACCTCTCAGATATTTTCAAGTGTCCCATACTTATTTCAAATTTACAATCTTTTTTGCACCACTTGTTGATAACTGCATTCATTTATCCAGGGCCACTAATAATTTTTTTCCATTCATTGCTCACATCCAAATTTGCTTCCAGTGCTTTTGTTCCCCACCCATAAAGCTTTAGAACCCATTAATCTCTTTTACAATTGCTAAAATCACCTACATTTTCAAACCTAGCTATTGACTTTGGGTGCTCTCTCATAGTTTCTCTCTTTAGTTAATTCAAATGATCACCTCTGTTATGGATTTTTTCACAAACCTCCTACGTGGCTTCTTTTCCTTTTACACTTCAAATTCAAGCTCCTTTTCTTCACTGTGAAGATTTACACAGTTTCCTGAACACACTCTGACATTATCTTCTTGAAAATTCATAACAGGTTCTACCCAACCACCTCTACCAAATGCTCCATTTATCTTTCTCTCTTTGCGGTGGTAATTCTTATCATGGCACCTCAAGATTATGTCTTTACTGCAGCATTAAATTAGCTTAGCATGTGGAGAGGGAGAGGGATAACTGTTGGAAAACATCAGAGGTCTATCAGTACCTATATTAGTTAGCCTGTGTCTTTCTTGAAAAATGGGTCCCTTATTAACCTGAGATAGCCTTGATTTATATCACAACTAGCCTTGTGTGTGGATGGAAGAAGATTGGGTCAACACTCAAGAAGGGAGGGTAAAGATACCTTGATAGTGAAGATAAACCCTAAGTTTGGAACAGCCTTCATCAGAGTGAAAGACAAACATCCTTCCTCTCCTTTCCAAAATCTATCCTTAAAACTCCTGTTTTGTTTAGCTTTCCATAGACACTTGTTTATATGTAACTACTAAGGGCAGGCACATGCACAGCTGTAACCGCATGCCCCTAAAACTTAACTCTTGCCCACAATAAGCATTTTCCATGCAGACAAGACCACAGATCTGAAAGCAATATCCTTTATAGGAGGTGATTACTTCTTTGATTACCTCCTAAGACCCTTTGGCAGGACAGCATGGGTGCATCTCCACTGCACCTGCAGCTCGAAATAAGCTACGCAAATTGCATAGCTTGTCAATTCTGAAATAACCTGCTATTCCAAAATGTCCCTTTCTCCTCGTGGAATGACGTTTACAGGGATGTTGAAATAGCAAGCCCGTTATATTTTGAAAGAACGGGCTTGCTGTTAAGATGTGGGAAACCTTGGATATTCCGAAATAGTGCTGCAGTGTAGACGTAGCCCATCAGACTCAGTTTACTGGTATTAGTTCTCTTGTTACCGTCTTCCACTCCGTCTCCTTTAGACCCCTCAGTAATACCTCTACCTATCCTTTGACTTTGCCCCCTTCTGACTTAATTCCACAAAAGTTATTTCTACTTATGAATCCTCCAAGAAAGATTTGTAAGTCTCTGTTGCATATCTTTGAAATCCCTTCAGGATTAGATGTGTTGCTTTCAATAAAGTTTTGGCTCCTGTTTTTCTTGTACCACATTTGCAGTTTAATGCTGTGGAAGAGGTATACAAAAATGATCGTTTCCCAGCTTCCTGTTGGCATTTAATTTCCAAATCAGCATCCCTTTCCCAAGGCCATCTGCTCTTTGTTCTAGTTAATTATGCCTTTTCCATTTGTATTGTGTCCTCCATGGAGATGTCAACCCAAATGCACAATTGTGAGCTTGATTCTCGTTAAAGGAATTCACCTTGTAAGTTGCACCTCACATTTTGAAACCAGACCAAAATTCTAATTGGAACATAAAAATCAGTGCGCCAAAAATAAACAATCTTGCCCAATCGTAATTTCTTTTCAACTCTTCAATTCTGAAACAGTGTATGAAAGGAATTAGCCAATAAACTTACTATACAGTTCATTTTAATTGGTATTACACTAAGACATGACAACAATGTATAAAATACAAGAGACCAATAAAAAACAAAAGTAAACTAACATAATATCTGTGTTATGGCACAGAAGAATCAGGACTGGAGAGATTTCTTCAGTCTCTTGCTTCTGAACTCTACTGAACACAATTTCAGCAGAGAAGCAGAGTCACTTCACCACACTACTGCTCAGTACTCAAGTGGATTCCTCCATAGTCTCTCTTGGGCCACCAGCACAACTGGATTCTGAGAAAAGAACACTACGGACTGTAGCCATCTGCAGAGGAAACATCTAGTTTCAGGAAGCAAAGTTGTAAACTAAATCATAACTCCTCCCTTTGACAAGCAAATGATGACATCAGAGCTAAAAAAAGACAGACTGTAGGCTGGTAGATCTTGAAATATCTTGCTAATACTTCCTAATAAAAGTAATTGCCCCCTTTTAAATTCTTTTATTATGCAGCTTTAGGTTCTCAAGATAATATGGCACTGCAAGGTATTATTATTTTACAGGTTGAACCTCTCTAGTCCGGCACCCTCTCTACTCCGGCACCCTCTCTAGTCCGGCACATGACTGATGCCAAATCAGAGAATTTGCTGACCCATGGGAGGTCAATATTGTCAAGAACCATTATCAAAACTTCCACTGCTTACTGGGCTCCTAGAAGACATTTAGGGCCTAAACAACAGCACACAACACTGAGCACCAGAACTGGTGGCTATAAACAAACTTTATGGGACTGCAGGAGACCTGGCCACTCCCATGGTAAGTGGACATCTGGCTAACTAAAATCATGCCAGATCATGGACATTACCAGCCAACAGAGTGCCAGACTAGACAAGTTCAACCTGTATTAAGAGTCCATCACCACTTCATTTGGAGTGCATTTACACTACATAATTTGGGGTACATTTAGCACCCTAAACTTGAAATAAGATATGCAAGTTTCCCTATGCAAATTGCATATCTTATTTTGAAATTTGGTGTGTCTACACAGCATCACATTTCGAAATAATGCACTATTTCGAGACATCCCTTAACCGGTTACAGGGATGCCGAAATAGTGCGCCCATTATTTTGAAAAATATTCCAAAGTAACAGGCAGATTGTTAAGATGCAGGGTAGCTATTTCGGGATACCTCTGGTATCCTGAAATAGCTGCGCAGTGTAGATGTACCCTTACATGTTTACAGTCAATTTTTAAACAGACAACACATGCAAACATATGAGTAACCCATAGGCTATTCCATTTCTTTTCAAGCAAGTTTAGAAACAATTACTGTTCTTTGGGCTATATTCTCTGCACCCAAGTGCTGTAAATTGCTATGACAACATCAACAGTCTTCTAAATAATCTGTTTAGAGGTGGACTAAAACAGGAATAAATTAAGATATTCTGCATTAATAAGATCTTTTTGGAAATAGAAGGCATGATCTGCATGGGGGTGGGAGGGGAGGGGGCAAATTCTGCCATTGACTATAGCTATGCAACCATACTGTACTGAGTGGGGGGATTGGCTATCAGGGTTTGACCTATATCTTATTAATTTTGTTGGGAATTTTTCATTCACTACCAGAGAGGCAGCTGTGTTCTAGCAAACACAATCAGGAGAAGTGGATTCTATCTGCTCACTTGCTGTGTGACCTTAAGGATTCAGTTCAGCTTACTGTGCTTTAGTTACCCCAGCAATGAAGTGGAGATACCTGTAAAGCACTTTGAGCTCTATAAAGAAAAATGAAACAATGGCAAATAAATATTTTAATAAATGTACATAACAAGGTTAATGGCATCAACCTCATGGGACAAATGCATGATTTATTATTGTGTTTACACAAGAATTGTAAATGGAGCAAGTGGAATATAGACCAGATGGTCAAGTAAAAAACGGGCTTAAATCTATTCCAATGTGGTTTTTTTGGCAGAAACATGATATAACTGTGAAATATCCTGGATTCACTATATTGCATCTGACAAAGTGGGCTCCAGTTCACAAAAGCTTATGCCTAAATAAATGTGTTAGTCTTTGGGTGCCACAGGACTCCTTGTTATTTTGCTGAAACAGACTAACATGGCTAGCCCTCTGAAACTTGTCATACTGAGAAAGTAAAAACACTAAGCTAGAGGAAAAAGCGAGATGGGCAAGTGCATAATTTCATGCTTTGGTATACCAGCTTGACAAATAATAAGTACACGAATTCTAGAAAGCCGGGAAAAGGGCCAAAATGACAAGAAATATTTAAGCTTCTTATAATATGCAATTAGAATTCACATTTGTTGTACTTGTTTTTGTGTATTACACAGAAAATAAAAAATGAGCAGGGAACAACTTTCCATGGATGAGACTTCCACATTTATTTTTTCTTCCATGTGCATAGAAAATGGCAGTGAAGTATCCTATGAAAGAGGCAGGGAATGAGAAAGATGGAGATATACTTGACTGTACTTTGTGCTTCAAAATTACACCATTCATTTTTTAAACAAAAATGATGTACTGAATTTTTACTTTTATAACAGTTCCTTGTATTTTTTTGTTTAAAGATGTCAGCTTTCCAAATTTGTTTTCAAACGACACACTGCATTACAAATGATGGCACTTTTAAACAATGTGGCATTTCCATATTTACACCAATGAAAGAAATTTACAAGACGTAATAGCATACAATCTTGACATTTAGTAATAGCAATAAAACAAAAAGGGCATCCATTTTATTTTTCTGTACAAACTATCATAAGTCTTTTATTCACATTTTAAAAATCAGCTTCAATTTTATCTGACCTACACTTTTTCCAAATTCATTTTACTCAATTCTCAAACCTTTCATCACATCGCCCACACCTTCACCAGACTATAGGAACTACAAGTAATTAGATCTAAAGTCTAAACAGAGCATAAAAGTTCTGCCTTCCAATTTCTCTCTCACCTTCCTGATAAAAGCTCCTCCTTGTTCCTCCTTTTATTTCACTTTCACATTTCATCATCCAAACAGCAAACAGGCCATTCCATTTCTTCTCAAGCAAGTTTAGAAACTATAGCATTCCTCTGTGTGAATTTCTGATGCTACACCCAAGAATCAGGTGACCCTGGGTATTGTTCTGCTCTGTAAGAGGGTCGTCTAGTGGAATAGAAGTCTACATAATTTGTGGTAGATTTCAGTCCATATTGTGTCATGTAATCTGTAGAGGCTGGAAAGTGAACTCGATCATCAAAATAGGGGTCTTCATAGCTATGTGGGGACTGTAAATATAATCTGTATGCATCATAGTTCTTTCTGTTGGAGTCATCTTGACTGTAGTACAACTGCTGATGCTGTTGATAAAATGGACAAATAAAAATAATTTTTAAAAATTAGATTTTAATGGGAAATATTTAAGAGGTTGTTTTAACCTTTCCGTAAGTTTTCAAAGCCTATGTATATATAGGCTTTAATGCATTGATGTAGCTATATTTTACCCATTCAAACAATGGCATGATGTGGCTGAATCATTGCATACTGATCTACAAAATATTACTGTTTTTTGAGCCACTATGATTTTTAGGTGCATAATTTTCAGTGGGTGCAGCTCCTCCACCGATTGGGTCAATGTTCAGAGAAGATTTTTTTAAAATTAAACAAGCATGAAATATAAACCAAAGACTAGGTGAAACAGTGGAAGAAATTCTTCATTTCCCCCCATCAATTACTCTACATCCACCATTGGTGCCACTGTACCCACTGGCAATCAGAGGTCAGAGAGAGTGAGGGGGAAGGGAAGTAGACACAGCCATATGTACTATCAAACATCCAGGTAACAAAAGTATCTTTAGACTGCATGGATTATGACTCTTCCTTCAGAAACTACCCCAAAAAAGGCAAGTCTGGAGATAGAGCTCTCGATCAGCCACAACAAGAATAGATAAGTGATTAAAGTTAAGAGGTTAAAAAAGGAAATACAAAGGCAATAAACTGGTAAGTTGTTTCCAGATACAGTAACACTCTCTAAAAAAAACCAAACATTAGAAGTGCTTTTTTTGAAGCACATTCTTAACACGCAACTGTATATTCTCTCTTTAGTTCTATTAAAGCAAACAATATTATCATTATATGTTGAACCTTGCTAATGGTATTCTTTTTAAATAGGGATGAGGAAACTTTTTTGGGTTAGGGGCCACTGACGCACTGAAAAAAAAATCAGTCAGGGGCCACATACAAGTGAAAAGCAAAGTTAAAAAAAAACAAACATACAAACCTCACTGACCTGGCCCCCAAGTAAGAAGGTGAAAAAAACCCTTCACAGATGTGGCCCCCAACAAACAAGCAGAGAAAAAAAGACACTCTCCTCATTCCCCTCAAATTCCAGCCCCACTGGGCTGCTGTTCCCCTAGCTGGAGGTAAGGGTTGGGTAGAGGGAGTGGCAATGCGCAGAGCCACATCCTCCTTTCTCTAGGCAGAGCTGGCTAGGCTGGGGGGGAGTAGGGGGAAGGCGGGCTTTAGTGCCAGCTCCCATCTGCTTTCCCCTCACATTCTCCAGCCACGTGGGGATGTGCCAAGGCTTGGAAACTTGTCTCAGGGATGAAGCACCAGCACTGGCTTGACCTGCTGCAGAGGGGGTGAGCCCCAAGCCTCATGGGTTAGATCAAGGGAAGCTGGGGTCCAGATCTGGCCCAAGGGCTGTAGGTTCCCCATCTCTGTAGGTTCCCATCCCCGTTTTAGAATGAGATTTCAAAAGTTACCTGTAGCCGTCTATTTTGTTCTCTTGCTGGTGAAGAATAGGAACTGATGTAAATTGGTGAAGCTTTGTTGGACCCTGTAAGAAATTATAGTATTTTATTATTTATATCTGTAAGCCTTTATAGTTTTTACAATACTTACAACAATTTTGTATATTTAGAAACTTTCATGTCCCTTACAGTGTTGAAATTAGTGGACCTGTTTTACAAGGATCTGATGCTCTATTATATCAAGATATTATATCAAGATAGATATCATTATGGTAAAGTAGTAATGAGAGTAGCTAAACCATGTACTTTGCACATTATTGCTATTTAAAAGAAAAAAAAAACCTATAACCTTTCCTTCTAATTTATTTCTGTGGCATTGGGATTGAAGCTTTCCTTGTGCTGAACATGAAGGCAGAAGCCAGACAACTTTGTAACAGCCAGGAAAATTGTTTGTTTTCTGTGGCTATTTTAGTAGGTTTCCCTCTAAGTCTGGGGTGAAGAGAGATTAGGCACCTGACCACAAATGATTGATTCATTGGTCCAAAGGGAGAAAGTTTACTACTTGAGGTAAAAGACAATCTCCATTAGCTGTCAGCAGCACCTTAATCTTCTTCGTAGGGTGTTGCCACAGAAAGGCAAATATCATGACATAGGGGCTATGTCTAGACTGTCGCTTTTTATCGGGAAAAGTATGCAAATTGCGCTCCACAGTTTGTGTACCTTTTTCTGATAGTTTTGTCCAAAGAGGCTTTTCTGAAATTTGGGCCAAATTTCAGAAAAACCTGCTCTTTCAGAAGAGCCCTTCTTCCTCATGGCACAAGGAAAACAGGGCGTCTGCTTTTCTGCAAAAAATGTTGTGTTCAAACTCCATAGTCTAGACATAGCATGGGTGAAAATGCAAAAACTATCATCATATAACAGGGTGGGAATTGGCAGTAAAAGGACTCCATTGGCTAAGTACTCTGAGGGCTTGTACTCAGGATTTCTGAACTGTGAGCCTTTATTTCCTGAATTAAGAGGTAAACAGTTACTTACCTTCATAATTGTTATTCTTCGAGATGTGTTGCTCATGTCCATTCCATGTACGTGTGTGTACATTGCGTGCCTGTGTAGCCAAAAGTTTTTCTCTTAGCAGTATCCATTGGACCAGCAGGGGAGCTCCCTGGAGTGGCGCCAGTATATCAGCTAATATATACCTCTGTTGGCCCTCCCTGACCTTCTTACTTGACTACTCCAAAGAAAGGGAGGGAGGTGGGATTTGGAATGGACATAAGCAACACATCTCGAAGAACAACAGTTACAAAGGTAAGTAATCATTTTTCTTCTTTGAGTGATTGCTCATGTCCGTTCCATGAACGGATTCCAAAGCAGAAACCCAAAGAGGCGGGGTCAGAGTTCTTACCTTCAACTGATTGTAGGACAGCCCTCCCCAGGGCTACGTTTTCCCTCACCCTATGGCCCAGTGCATAATGATTGGCAAAGGTGTGAATAGGGACCTGGGCCACAAATGCTGTAGAGGAAGCTTGGGTCCTAGAGGAGTGGGCTGTTAGGAGAGGGGCTAGCAACCCCAGACAGCCCACAACACTCCTTGATACAGGACATAATCCATGAAGAGATCCACTGTGCAGAGACCAGATGCCCCTGCAGCCTCTCTGCAATTGCTACAAAGAGCTGTGGAGAGTTACCGAAGTCCAAATAAAAAGCTAAAGCTCTCCTAACATCTAAAGTGTGTAACGCCTGTTCCTCACCCGAACCATGGGATTAGGGGTAAAAAACTGCGAGGAAAATATCTTGGGCCACATGAAATTGAAACATCGCCTTCAGAAGGAAGGCGGGGTGGGGAGAATAATCTGATCTTATCTTTAAAGAAAACTATTCGGGGGGTCTGAGGTGAGGGCTCTCAGTTCAGATGCATGTCTGACTGACATGACAGGCACTAGGAAAGACACTTCCAAGAAAGGTGAAGCAGTAGGCACATCACCAGGGTCTCAAAGGAAAGCCCCATGAGTTTGGACAGGACCAGGTTGAGGTCCCATTGAGGAACAGGCTGACAGACACGTGGATAGAGCGTGTCCAACCCTTTCAGAAACCTGTGTACCATGAGGGTCATGCCCTGGGAGCCCAGGTGTAAAGCAGAGATGGCTGCCAGGTGTACCCTCACTGAGAAGGAGGATAACCCCTGTAGTCTAAGATCCAGGAGATAGTTCAGGATTAGCAGGATCTGGACCTCCATGGGTGATTCCCACTTCTGGGCAGCCCAGATGGAGAAGTGCTTCCACCTGGCCAGGTAAATGGCCCTAGTGGAAGTTTCGTACTCCCAAGTAAGATCTCCTGCATCCGCTCCAAACACTGCAGCTCTGTTGCTGTCAGCCATGGAGCTTCCATGCCATTAGGTGCAGGGATCGCAGGTTCGGATGGTGAAATCTGCTGAAGTCCTGTGTGATGAGGTCCAGGTCCAAATGAGAGGGCGACTGGCCTCAAGAAGGATGTGAACCAGTGTTGCCTGGGCCACGCCGGCATGATGAGGATCAGGGAGGCCCTGAATTCCTGAACCCACAAGAGCACCTTGCAGACCAATGGGAAAGATGGGAATGCATAAAATAGACCGTTGGGCCAAGTGGTAAGGAGCGCATCTCCCAGGGAGCCCCACTTCAGCCCCATTAGGGAGCAGAAGCTCAGGCACTTCCTGTTCCACCTGCTGGCAAACAGGTCCAGAAGGGGAAATCCCCACTTGTGGAAGACTTGGAGGCCTACGTCCCCTCTGAGACCACTCATGACTGGAGAAGGACCTGCTCAGCCGATCCACCAGGATGTTCTGGGACCCTGGGAGACAGGAAGCAACTGGGTGAATATCCGCCCCAATGCATAGCTCCCACAGCCAAAGGGCTTCTTGACACAGGGGAGGGGAGTGAGCCCCGCACTGCCTGTTGATACAGGAGATGACCAACGTATTGTCAGAAAGAACAAGGACCGTTTTGCCCCTGAGCCGAAGGAGAAAGGTCACACAGGTGAGACAGACTGCCTGCAGCTCCCTGACATTGATATGCAGGAAGAGGTTGTACCTTTTCCACATATCTTGGGTCCGCATGTCTCTGAGGTGAACCCCCCAACTGGTGTCGGATGCGTCCCTCACTAACCGGAGGGTAGGTAGAGGTTTGGAGAACAGGACCCTGGAATAGACCACCTCCTCCTTGGTCCACCAGTCCAGAGAATGCATGACCTCAGGTGGAACTGCCCCAAGAATGCAGAGCCGGGTTGCAAACCTGCACAAGCCACATCTGTAGTGGATGCATGCAAAGCCTGGCGTGTTGAATGATGTAGGTACATGCGGCCATCAACCCCAGGAGATGCATACAAAACATGGCTGTGGTCACTGGGAACTCCTGCATGCCCTGGATGGCTGTTTTGATTGCCAGGAAGTGAGATCTGGGAAGAGAGGCTGTGCCCAACACTGAATCCAGGTGAGCACCTACAAACTCCATGACTTGGGTGGGAACCAGGGTTGAGCTGGCCATGTTCAAGAGCAGCCCCAGCTTGTAAAAAACGTCTTGCACTAGAGTGATGTCAGCTAGCATCTGATCCAAAAAAGAGCTTTGGAGGAGCCAGTCGTCCAGGTAAGGGAACACCTGGTCATCCCGCTTTCTCAGTGTGGCAGCCACAATGGCCATACATTTTGTGAACACTCGAGGGGGCATAGAAAGGCCAAAAGGGAGGGCAGTAAACCAATAGTGGTCCTGGCCTACCATAAAGTGGAGGAACTGCCTGTTGTGCGGTGCAACAGAAATGTGGAAGTAGGTATCTTTAAAATCGAGGGCAGAGTACCAGTCTCTGAAGTAGGGAGGGAATGATAGACGCCAGAGTAACCATCTTGAATTTGCCTTTGGCAATGAAGACATTGAGTTCCCTGAGGTCTAGGATAGGCTGAAACCCTCCCTTGGCTTTGGGAACCATAAAGTACCAGGAGTAAAAATCCCTGCCCAAGAAACCCTGGGGAACCACTTCAGCCATCCCCAAGGTTAAGAGCTGCTGTACCTCTTCCCGGAGGAGATGCTGTGAGAGGGATCCTTGAAGAGGGATGGGGCAATAGGGTGAGAGAAAGAGGCTGAAAGGAAGGGGATGGCTTACCCCCTTCTACCGTTTCTAGGACCCAATGGTCTCAGATAATGGATTCCCAGGCCTGACAGAAAGGGAATAGGCAGTCCCTGAACAGAAAAGGTGGGGCTGGTAAGCTGTCCAAAGCCCTTGATGAATTGCAGAGTGGAGGGCAGAAAAGATTCCTGCCTGGCTGGTATCTCGGTGTGGACTAAAGGAGTGCCAGTCTGACCATGATGGTCCGGGTGCTATGCCCGTCAGTGCTACGTGTCCCACTTGAGAGTACACGAAGGGCACATGCCTCGAGGGAGACTTGCCCTTGCTAGGTCTCTTCTTCTGAGGCACTGGGAACTGCAACCAGTGCTGAGGCCTGCATGGCGCTAGGGAGATGCACAAATGGCTGGGTGCCTCCCGCACTGACGCCAGTGCACTCTGGGATGCCAGTGCTAGATTGGACACTCGTGTCGGTGTAAGGCCGACTCCATCAGGATAATCTTCAAATGATACTCCTTTCCCGCTTGGTACATGGCTTAAAGGCCTCGAGGATAATACAGGCCTTGAACAAGTAGGCCTCTGCAAGGCACTTAAGACAACCTGCATGAGGGTCCCCGCAGGGCTTCTATCACTTCTTCCAGGGCTTGAAGCTGTGGAGCCCAGGCATGCCCCGCCAGATGCCCTGCCCCTGGGTGCTTAACACTAAGTTCAACACTTAATAGCTAATAAAACCATAGATAAGATCAATAAACTGTTAACTACTAAAAAAACAAGAAGAACTGCTAAGAGGCTTGCAGAGCAAGAGCAAAGGCACTTTCCAATGACCCTCATGAGGGGTAAGAAGGAACTGAGCTGGCCCAATGCGTACTGCTAAGGGAAAAACTTCTGACAATGCGTGCATGCAGCACACGCACCTATATGAAATAGACATGAGCAATCACTCTAAGAAAAACAGGTATCTAAATGCAGAAACAGACTCATTTAACCCTTTATACAGGCAGTCCCCGAGTTACAAACAGGGCCGTCTCCCTGGTCTCCAGCAGACCAGAGAGAGGAAGCAAAGCGGCGGAGCACGCGGACAGCGGACAGCCCAGACGCATCTGGGCTGTCCCGCTGCCCCCGTGCTCCGTGGCTTTGCTCCGGACACCTGTGGTACAGCAGCTGGGGCGCTG